AGTTTACATTTAATAAAGTTTTCCTTTAACTAAGATACATGATGATGAAATGACTTTCTAACATTGCACATGTTACAGATTATTTATTAAAAACCCAATAACTATTTATTTAAAAATTTATAAAGCTTATGAAAAAAATCATTTATATTTATATATTATTTGACATTATTTATATAATAATACATAATTAATTAAATTATAGTAATATAAATGACATATTATATATTATATTATAGTTTGTATTATTCATAATTTATAAATATAATCTCAGTTCAAAAAAATTCATATATAAGTTTATCAATTTTTTAACTTTATTGTTGATGAAATAGTTGTTGAATTTTTAATGAATGGTTAATGAATCTTTAATGAATAATTTAATGAATAGTTGCTAATTTTTTAATGAATAGTTAATAAATTTTTAATGAATAGTTTTGATAAATAGTTACTTAATTTTTAATGAATAGTTGATGAATTTTTGACAAATTATTAATAAATTAATGTCAAATTTTTATTGAATTGTTAATAAATAATTTTGTGACAAATTTTTAATAAATTATTGTCAAATTGTTAATGATTATTTGATAAAATATTAATAAATTTTTTGACAAATTATTAATATGCCAATTTTTGTAGTTCTAATTTATTTATATCATTTTTTTGTTAAATTGTTTATTTTTTGTCAAATGTTACAGTATGCTGAATAATTTTTTTTAACTAATGTATAGAAATAATTTATTGCTCTATTAGTAGTTTAGACAAAAACCCTTTCAACTACTAACTTCATTGCCTGCAGATCACTACTGCAGATCACCCTTTGATGTTCTAACTAGGTGCTTTATAATACTGTACTATACAGTATATACTGTATATATACTGTGTCCGTTTCCGTAATGTCTGTCATAATTTCAATGAGGAAATAGCAGTAATATGATTCGCAAAAGAATCTCATCACTTGGTTAAATGACCTCGTGTACGTAGCTTAAATCATTCACTTATGAGTTAAACATTTAAGAGGAATCAACGTTTTCCTTTAAATAATTTGTCAATGATGATCTACGTTACGGTAGTATGTGCGTACACATTGTAACGGTATCGGTATCAATGAAACACAAAAATGTAAATAACGGGTTTTCTCGGAGTTGCCATGATATTACTTATTTTGGCTCATTCAAGAAGGAATGGAAAATAGAGCATATGATAATTTCCCAAAAGAAACAGGTCACAAATTTTGGTATTGTTATCAGATGTGTTGACAATTTGAAATAAGCAACTCTTGCGCCTCACGCTTGATGATCCGATTGGCCATTTTCCTCCGGCCGGATATGTCGTACATACGTACCCTTATCCCATTCGTTATGCGCTACTTATTTCCGAGAAAGGGCGGTAAATATTAAATTTATTTGTTTTTTGCGTCTTCTTTTCGTTATCTAACTTGGTCATACGACACGAAAGAAAAAACGCCGTCGATGATTGCACGACAGGATGTAGCAAAGATGTCACGTTCCATAAGTCCGACACAGAACTGTAAAAATTTATTAGTTGCGCAATCAAACTCGGACATTATTACCAAGTAATCTGCCTTACACAACGTCATCTCATTGTTAAGAATTTTCACTTAATAACAATACTGATAGATTCCAAAAATAATAAAGACTGATTGCTTGATGATTGACGCATGAAAAGTTATATAAGACCGACAAAACAAAACCTGCCAATCTGCCAATATATCCTTTTTTTTTTTTTTCACGCTCGGCGCTTGCCCCTGGTCACAAAAAAAAACAATTATACGAATTTAGTTACCCAAAGTCCTATTTAATCTGGTTTTGTACCATCTTCGTTCACATTTAAATACTCCTTACCCTTAGGGAAAAATTACTTTTCACAGTCGCCGTTCCCCAGCTACGATAAAAAAAATAACTAGAATTTCCTATATTATAAAAATTTTTCCTTAGAGAAAAAACGAGAGGTTGCTTTATATATATTTAATCATCAACAAGTATATAAATAATAACAAAAAATGGCCCAATTACACATCACCGTCGTTAGGCATGCCGAAACGAACGCAAATTTAAATCATATTTTACAAGGGCAAATAGGTACAAACAGTCACGAGTCTAGGGTTGCTTTCACGTGTCCATTTATTAAATAAATCCCTTTCTTTTTTGTATATAGATACTAAGCTTAATAAAAATGGAAGGGAGCAGGTAGAATTGATTGCACGAAGATTGCGAAAAATGAAATTTGATCATATTTATTCAAGCGATTTGTATCGGGCGAAGAAGGTACGGATGATGAGCGACGCTTTGTCCTATGAGACACATTATGTGAGTGTTAATCGAAATTGTTGTGAATTAATTGCGTTTTTTTTTTTTTTAGACAGCTGAAGGTATTGCTAAACATCACCCGAATATACCGTTCACAACAGACATTCGGATTCGAGAACGGGTATCTATGATTTAAAATATTCATTTCTTTCTCTTTTGCTCGTGTCACATTCTCATAACCCTTACCCATTATAATATGAAGGACATCGGAAGACTTAGCGGCTTGTCCATATATCAGGCCTTGGACTTAATAAAAGAGGAAGAATCTTCATGGAATGATTATGGCGAACCCGAAGGAGATTTTAAGGCCCAGGTGGTCGACTTCTTTGAAGAAATTGTTGAAAAGCACCTACCCAAAAACGGCGAATACCGAAAACAATTGCTGAACACTGATCCGGACGCAAAACGCAATCCACATATTTTGATAGTTACTCATGGTGGTGTCATTAACAAACTTGTTAAGGAGCACCTGATTATGGACCTAGGATTTTATGTTAAAGATTACCTGAGCATGAAACATAAGGCGAAGAATACCAGTGTCACAAAGTTCGTTGTGAGGAGAATCGAGAAGCCTACTATTGGTACGACCATCGATGATGAGGATGCAAAGAGCGTGGTCAGTAATAACACTACGGAGAATGAGAGCAATGACGGTAATAATAGTGTAAAAGATGATGATAGCGGTTCAGAGAAGGCTCTCTCCACACGAAGAACCGTTGAACGAAAAATTCGATTAGAAGGAGAGATTACACTCTGGAATTGTGTGTCACATTTGGCATCACAAGGAAAACGGACACATGGCGATTCACAAATCGATGACTTAGTGCATTAGATAATGAAGTGTCATGTTTAGAGGGGATCATATATTGATTGTATGAGAATCGTGGAATTTCTGGTTGTAGATATAAACTTTAGAAGCAAGCTGGGATTTTGCTTATTTCCGACTTTCGACTTTTTTTTTTTAGAGACAATCTACATTTTTTGTTGTCAAATACCCCAGGTGTTACATTTATGAGATTCTTGTGTTTCGCAATAAACAAATCTGGTTACACTTTTAGGTGCAATCGTAAGATTTATTAATAATTCTAGCTGATTGACCTCCTTAGCTTGATTTACAACTTATAAGGTGCCAATGGATAGCATAATTTCCAAATCAATCGCCAACATTTCGATCACTTTAACCAATAGGGAGCGGTTATGAAAAAAGATTTTGGCAATTGAATGGAACTGATCCGCACCTTAATCGGTCTTATCTTGATCCGGCAGATCTTTATTAAAAACAGTTGTAGAAAATATCCATTCTGTAACCTTATTTACAAATATATTTTGAATTAATCATTATATCGGTTGAAATCATTTCGTTTAATATATATTTAATTAAAACAATATTGTAAAACTACTATTTTAAATATTTAACATTTATTTTTTTTTTTTTTAATTGCAAAACAAACATTAGATATAAGACATAACACCTCTATTAATTAAAAAATTGACATTGCAAAATATTGAACCCTTTCATGCACAATTAATTTATTGATAATATAATTATAAACTTATTATTAAAATTTTAAAAAAGTTTATTGACAAATCAATTATTTTATTGATTTTTTTTTTTTGCTAATTCAAAATTATGTCATGATGGCTTGTCTTTATTGAAAAATTAAAATAAAATCTATAATAATTTACAAATCTTCACAAAATAACTAATTTGTTTTTATAAATAAGTACTTTAAGTCAAATTTTGAAAACAATATTATGCTTCCTTAATATAATTAAATTAATCATTGTTTATAAGAATTATTAATAATTTGGCATTACTGATAGATATAAAAATCAATAAATTGTTAAGTTAAAAAGAAAAAAAAAATAATTGAAAAAAAGATACAATTTAAGATTAAAAAAGTTCTAGAAATAAAAATAATTTTTTTTCAAAAAAATTTTGTCTGATTAGAATAGTTTTATTATTTTATTTTAATCTCAAAAAAATTCTTTTTTGTTATTACTTGTGATATTAAATAAATTAATTTAACTAGTTTTTTATTTAAGTAAATATTGGATTTAAATATTTCAAAAAAATATTTAAATTACAACTTTTGTTTATTAAAGTTTTATTATTACTTAAAGAACTTAAATAAGGGATAAAAATTTGTAATCCATATTATTTATATCTTAATTTTTTGATATTATAGATGTTTTTAGTAAGAAACTTAAACTTTTGAAACAAATATTTTTAAAATATTTTTTCTAATTATCCTTTTTTTTTTTTTTTTTTTTTTTTTTTTTTTTTTTTTTTTTTTTTTTTTTTTCTTTTTTTTTTTTTTTTTTTTTTTT